GTGGGGGCTGCTGTTGAAGAAGAAAAACAGTAAAAAGAGACACAAAAACAGTTTTGCAATTCACAGACGAAATACCTATTTTGGAAAGGGCCAAAGCCACTTGTTTTATACTCCATCTTCCAATATCTGTGTACCCCCACCCCCCACCCCCCACCCCCCTCAATTATGCAAAGAAAAAAAAAGGACACTTTTTAATTAATTAGGAAGAGAAAAAAAAAGGGGTTTTCTTTGCATAATTGAGTTTTGGAAGGGCTAAGTAATTAAGATAAATGGTAGTATGATACTGTTACATAGTTGAGAAATAATTAACTTTATGCAGTTCTTTTCATAAATACAAGAATTTACATTTGAACCTACCAACTTTAATTTATTAGGAAACATTTCAATAATTTTATTTTTTGTACAAATAACAAAACATTTGAAGTTATAGCATGGCCAAATCGGTGAAAGGTAGGTAGTACTAAATCTACATATATTCTATTTTTTTTGAAAATATATTCTATTTAACTTTTCGTACTAGTTATCTCTTTTCATTAAATCTAAATTTAAAACATTTTGTAACCCTAGCTAGTTGTTAATGTGGATATCCAAATACTAATAATTATTGGGATTATCATTAAAATAAAAAAAATTAGAAGGGGATATCCGAATACTAAAAGGGCATTAATATTTTTAACCTTTGTAGTTAGTTATACGATGAATGGAAATATTAATAATAAAAATTAAAAAATGCAACATGAGCAAAAATAGAAAGTAGGCAAGCAGCACATAAGATAATCAATGATGACGTCACAGATGACGCAATTCCACAAATATAATATATATAATAGGGTTAAATACAAAAACACCCCTGTACTATGGAGTTTGTATCAAATACCCCCATGTACTACACATAAATACAAAAAACCCCCTCACATTACATTTTTTTCAAAATATGACGAAAATACCCCTGCTTAGCCTATAAATTAAATGGTTTGTTTTGAGTCATTTTCCACTATATTTTTAATATTTTCGGTCAATTTTACTTGGGAAATTTTGATATTTATATTTTTTTCTCCAAAACATTAAATTACTTAGTTTTTTGTTTTCTCAATAAAACCTTTTATTTTCTTCCGGTAGTTCAAATTCTCAACAATGATAGGATTGTAAAGATGTTTGTAATCTTATGATGTTTGAACTACCGGAAGACATTTAAGAAAGAAAAAAATGAAGAAACTCAAAATGATAAAAATAAAAGGTTTTTATCAGAAAATTAAAAAAATATAAGCAATTAGATGTTTTGGAGAAAAAAATATAAATACCAAAATTTTCCACGTAAAATTGACTGAAAATGGCTAAAACAATATATATATATATATATATATATATATATATATATATATATATATATATAATAAATGCTTGAGTAGGGGTATTTTCGTCATATTTTGAAAAAAATGTAATGTGAGGGGGGATTTTTGTATTTATGTGTAGTACAGGGGGTATTTGATACAAACTCCATAGTACAGGGGTGTTTTTGTATTTAACCCTATATAATATGCAGCACTACGCAATTTTTAATTGTGGTTAATTTAATTATCAATACTAATGAATTAATATCTGCATAATAGTCTAATTAATTTTTTAGTAAGAATTAAAAAAAGGTCAATATTTAGGTCAAGTCCCTCTCGTCATAATAGCTTTTCTTCATGAGAGAGAAACTGATAATGCCAGATGTGAGAGAGAGAGAGAGAGAGAAGTATATAATATATATAATGTAATCTAAGGTAAGATATTGTATGTGGATTAGGACAAGTACTAAAAAAGGAATCTTTCTTACAGATTAGAGAAAATGAAATTTTTTTTCTTTTCTTCTGAGTCTGATAATGGAGCTGAGGTGGCAGCTGGGGGTGAAAACAGAAAGTAAAAAAAATGGCGTGCATACGTAAGTAGGTACGTACGTGCAGAAGAAGAAGAAGAGAAATAAAATCATGAGGGTCTGATGAGAGGGTGGGTCCCACAATTCTGGAGCCAGTTTGTTGTTGACGGTGGTGGTGGTGGTTGTCTGAATATAATCTGCTGGAATCCTGATGATGCTGCAGCATTGTTAGCAAACGACGTCGTCTCCTTGTTATTTGTTTGCCAATATTGCTCTTCATTATTATTATTATTATTATTATTAATACTTCTTCTTGTAGTTGTTACTGATGATGAATTAGCCTTCTTTCCTCCTTCTGTACTGTAATTGCTTCTTCCCCCACCAACCTGCTGACGTCATTATTATTATTTTAATTAATTATTTTTTTTTTTGTATTTTTAATACACACATATATAAACACGTACCTCATGGTGTTGTGCGTTTAACAATGGAAGCTGCACGTGTGGTAATTCACCCAATTTACCAAATCTTAGCTCCAAATTTTCTGTCTCACTACTGTAATAATTCCCTTCTCTTCTCCCTCCACCATGCTTCTGGTAATTATTATTATTATTATGCTGCATTTTTGTTACATATTTAAAAAAAAAAAAAAATAGTTTTTGTTTAATTAATTAATTAACATAAAATAATAAAAAATCAAGGACAATTAGGAATTAATTTCAATTCATACATACATATTCGTCAGGCCTTAATCCTCGGTTCGATCTCAAATCGAAATCAAATTGCGAATGCCGCTCGTTTGCGATTAATCCAGACATTAATTCCTTACCTCCTCCTCCCGCCGCCGCCTTTCGTGGTGAATTTCCCAAACTCAGGTCGAGATTGTGATTTTCTGCATTGCTGCTCGTACAATCTGATCATACGATTAATTAATTTTCTGAATATTATATATAAATTACAATTTTCATTAAAACGAAAAACTAAATAATTATTGTAAACTATATATATATATATATATATATATATATATATATATATATATATATATACATTACCAGCAGATTTAAGTTCTTCTTGATAAATACTGGGATCGAAGTTGGTGACGGCGTCTTTTCCGTTCGATTTTATCGCTGCTTTGTCATAAGCCCTATTTATATTACATATGTAATTGCATGTAATTAAATTAAAAACACTTTAACCTAAACAAAAATTTGAGACAAAATAATACATATATCTCCATACGTATAGATACAAAAGTTATATACCCACCTAGCAGCTTCAATTTCTGTATCAAAAAGACCCAGATAAACGTACCTGTTTGAATACAATCACAATGCATGGAAGTGGGATAATAATTAGGGCATAATATCAACTGATTATAAGTAAATTAAATAAAATTAATTTATAATAATTAAAGAATAAATAAAAATACTTTTTGCCCAAGAATTGGCCCATTCGAGATTCCCATCTACCACATTTGTGCAGGGTAACACCTCTATATTTCGAACTCCCTCTCGGATAACCGGTGCTTTGTCGACGCAGTACATGCACAAATTCGTCCTTTGTCAAATTTCTCATCTGTAAATTAAATTATTTCAATTTCAACTTCTTTTAATTATTATTTATTTCACATTTAATAAGTATTAAAAAAAATTAGGAATATAATCAAGATTAGTACAAGTTAATTTTTTTTTGATTACCTGTTTTAAGTCTTCCTGGTAATCATCTAAACTGAAGTTTATGTCTGCTTCAACTCCCCGGAACTTAATAGCTGCCCTATCATATGCACTGCAAAAAAAAAAAAAAAATATATATATATATATATATATATATATATATATATATATATATATAGATTAAATTAAATTTATTGCAATATTTTTTTTAGGTTAGAATAATATAATTAAAGAAAGTATAAAGTGTTGTGACAGGTTAATTACCAGGCTGCTGCATGTGCTGTATCAAATCCACCTATAGATACATAAAATTGAAATTTGCAGAGAAATAAGGTTTAATTGACCAATCAAATCAATTCGAATAAATTTAATTATATATATACATATATATATTTTTGGAGAAAAGAAAAAACAAACCTAAGTAGACTTGTTTTCCACAGTCCCTGAATCAGAAAACAAATTTAAGAAGAAGTTGAATTTATTACATGTTCAGGGGGCAGAAAATAAATAAATATGTTTTTTGGAAAAATGCGAAAATAATAAATGAAAAAAAAAACAGCCTTTGCAGATAGATATTTTTTTATTTTATTTTTAATAATAATTTAATTTAATAATTAATACCATATGTGTGACTCCCACCGGCCAGTTCGCCGGTAAAACGTGACCCCTCTATATTGGGAGCTTCTCGATCTAGGGCCTCGCCGGCTCTTCTTCGGCGGCTGGGCAACCTCCGCCGCCGACATCCCCATGGCAGCGCCGCCGTGAGGCTCCGACGGCCGGCAGAATTTAACTCCCAGCCAGTGAGCCGATGGGAAATTGGGCTGTCCTCCTCCTCCTCCGCCGCCGCCTACCGTAATCCCCGACCCATCCACCGGAAAGAACTGCCGGGTCACCGGCGACGAGGAGGAGCCCGACCCGGTCTCACCGTGAGCAACGGAAAACCCAAAGATTTTGCTGCTCGATCTCTTCCTTCCACCACCACCACCACCAACTGCAGATCTCTCAGCATCTTCCTCCTCTGAGCCGTCCTCAATAACCACCGCCGACGAGCTTGAATTGGAAACGGATCCGACCCGTTTTCCTTTGTCATCGGAAAACCCATCGGATTCTTTATAATCATCCCTCCTCCGATCCGGCGAATCATTGAGATTCCACATTTCTCCACTCCCCAAAAAAAAAGGGTTTTCTGCTAATTAATCTATCTGTTCGAGAAGAGAGAGAAAGAAGAGAGAGAAAGAAATAAGTTTTTCCTCCTGAATACTGATCAACACAGTCTCATCAAGAAACAGAAAGAAAAAAGTAAAGGGGGGTCGTACGTTGTAATAGTGGGCGCACAGTAGTATATAGATATGGCTACATAAAACAATAATGCTTCAACAATGGAACTCTTCTGTACTTTCTTCTTAATCTAATCTAGAAACAACATAAATAACCTAGCTCCATAGCCTTATGTCAAAACAAGAATTTCTTCAACACCACACAAAACAATCCTCCCTTTATTTCTACATATATTGTACGTACATATCTCGTTTTACAAGCGATTGCCCCAAACCAGAAATCTCTCTCTCTCTCTCTCTCTCTCTCTCTCTCTCTCTCTCTCTCTCTCTCTCTCTCTCTCTCTCTCTCTCTCTCTCTCTCGTACGAGGATTAGTAAATATAATACCGAATTAATAAACAGCTTCTATTATTGTGTTTAAATGGAGCAGGGTTTTTAAACCTAGACGAGGGAGTCCCTCCTTTTAGCTGCCATGTTCAATCAATATATATACATACATGATACATACATATGTGTATGTAAGGGTTTGGTTTTATAAAACTCTTTCTATTTATATATGTCTGACTGTGGGAGTTCCGTTTAAGTTTTAACCATCTTCTTTTTCCTTGAAATATGTGAAAATTTATGTATGGATCGATATACCGGATATATATGTCATAATTTTGTATCTATATATATGCAACTTTATTTAAAAAAAAAAAATCATTTGTCCTTAAAAATGTCTTTGTTACTGTCAATTAAAAATGGGGTATTGAGATATTTATATTCCATGAGATATGGGGCAATTTGGGAAAAAATGAATGAGATATATTATTTTTCTCGATTAAAATTCTTCGTGATGTCTTTATTACAAATATTATTACAAATGTTTTATGTTAAAAAAGTTAAAAGTTCATCTCAAACGCAATAGTTCAAGCGTTGACCGTCGAGTCCGCTCTTTTCTCCTTGTCAATTGGCTCAACCGATTTACAATTATTTGAGTCGAGATGTGGGAGATAACCGATTCAAATAAGTTGACAAACTCGATTTTAAATGATACATCGGGCGAAAGCTAATTAAATGATACATGAAGGAGCTTAGCTCAATTGCAAATATACTCTTAAGGAGCTTAATTGAAGAAAAAAAAAGTACAGGTCCTCATCTCTAATTGTGCAACCTCGTGCGGGGTTTTCTTTTTTAATTATATAAAATATATTTTAAATACACTAATATACTAGTAACATCCATAATAATTTTGCAATTGCACTTTTGTGCACGTATTTGCCTTGTCATCGTTAATTAGTAGTTCCTCCATTCAACAAAATATGTCATTTTAAAGAAACCTTGTTGTTTAATATTAACTGTCAATTTTAGAATTTTAATACTGCAGTAGTTATATATTTAAAAATATATATATATATATTAAAGAGAGAACTAGTGGGAACTAAAATCCATCTCTTTCTTTCATTCTTTCCTTGTTACGCAACTTTCCAATGTTTTAACCAAATCGAAAAGCAATCCCTCTATCTCTCTCTCTCTCTCTCACACACAAACACACATATTAATTTCTCCCCACTTTACCCCTAATGGAAATAGACAACACAGACACTCGATGAATGGCTTATTACTCAATTACCTTTCTTAGCAAAACTAATTAACTTTATTGTCATTTTCATTCATTCAATTCCACGTCACCCCACATACCCCACCCAATTGAAGAGAAAATGAATAAATACAAAGGGTTAAGTTTGTTATTTTTTCTATGCTACACCCACTGAAAACTGCACCAATGTGGATGGGATGTTTACGTGTACAAGCCCGGTTCTGAGGGAAGACGAGAAAGGCCGTCGCCTTGGGCCCCCGATTTTTTATGAATTTTAGGGGCCCCCGATTTTAGAAAAATAGTCCTTATACATTACTATTTATTGATAATATATCTATAATAAAAGTATATATATTCAGAAAAAGAAATAAAATAAAAAAATATGATGAAGATTCGTCAAGTCTTTGTCTTCGATTCTCCGTTACCTCGTTCTTCTTGTTCTAAGATTGCGTAAAAAAAGTCCAGATTTTCATCTTTGAGGTTATCTTATATAGGTTTAATTAAGACTTGGTAATATATAAGAGTTTCCTTGTGCAATAAAAATTCCTATAATTCCACAAAAAACCTCATAAGAAAATATAAATTGAGTGGAAAACTTACACTCAACACCTCTAAAAAAAAATCGGGGGCGATGCCCCGTACCCCCAAGTTTTTTAACCTACTTTGTTATATTACTTCGAACAAAAAAAAAGACAATGTTGCCCCTGGTAGGGGCCCCCGTTTCAAAGATCTACATAGTTCGCCTTGGGCCCCCGAATTCCTAGGAACGGCCCTGTACGTGTATATGAATAGTAAAGATTTACTCAGTGCACAGATCGAGAAATAATTAATGTAGATAACACAACGCTTTAAATAATTAATGTGGATGTATGTTCCATGTTACACTCGACGTCCAATGAAGTATATATATAAACACAATTCATACATACGTATGTATGATTGTGTATAGATTATATAGTGTAAATTCGTCTGATGACATGAGTTTAGTTCTTCTAAGGAGTTATGAGAACGACTTGATCGCAATGTAAGAGAAAGAAAAATGAAAGATAGAAAGATCCAACGGGCGTGCCAAATTTGTGAACGCAAATTTCGAATTCATAAATAAATGTACAAATAAATCTATTAACCGTCATATCTTGCACCAAGTTTGGCCGGTGTTGCCTAATAAATTTGCATTTTCTCTCTCAAAATAATGTATAAAAAATAAAGGAAGGTAACATAAATAGTCACGTTTATTGAAATCGTGGCCCTCTAGAAATAAGAAATGAGGGGATGGTCCCAAAAACATAGAAAAAGGTACAAATATACCATTCTTGGATTACAGGCCCACCACTTATACCCACAAACCCACTCGTGTTTGGGCTTTTTCTGAAGAAATATGTACTTTTTGGGGCAATTAATTGAATGGCCAAAAAATACAAAATTGCTACTAATAAACATGGAGATAACAACCTCACAAGAGAAAATTAAATAAATAAATTGAAAGATGTAACCTAAAAGTTGCTTGTTTTCCAATCTAATTTATAGTACTAAAAACCAAACCTTTAGTTTTTGTCAACTTTTCCAGAAAATTGGGTAAACAAGTACACGAGGGGAGGGACCATTATTATTATTTTATCAACACATTTAATCCCATGACACACATACATACCTATTTTTATCATCTAGGGGGGTGCCCCCCCCCCCCCTCCCAAATACTTCCCTAGATTTTATTTTTTTCTCACCTTCAAATTATTATAGGCACATGCTTCTTATTTCATTTTAATGGAACACCTTTTTTTTGTTTTAGGACCACGGTTTTGTGATAGTGGAGAATAAAATATTAGATTTTTTTATGATTTTTTATTTTTATTTTTATACAGAGGCCGGTCGATCTAAGCTGAGCGATGCATCAACCTACATAAATTAATACTCGATAAATAATAATCTCTTTAAAATAATACATTTTTCGCGGTCCTGACGTTAGTATTTTGCTAAATTAATAGAATTTATTTTATCCCAATTATATTGATTTATAAAGATTTAACTGCGTGCTTGCAAATTTTCGAACACTAGTATAGTAATGATATAAGTGTGTGAGAAATGTGGGCATGTGTGTTATGAATGAATTTGTTTGGGCCATATGGTTTAATGTTGACATTATTATATATATGGAGTTAGATTGATTGATACGAGGATGTATATATTATATATGTATATAATTTGGTTAAAAACCCGAGTTTGGATATGGGGTCCATTTTCTTTCCTCGCCCGAGTTTGTGTTTTGATATATTTATAATTGGAAATAGAAAATTGATCAAAACCCCCTTTTAATTTCCTCACAATCGATCTGATTTTTATTTATTTTTCATTTTTTATTTACTGTTTTTTTTTTCTTTTTTATGATAAATAGTTACGTCGAGTTGCAACTTCATCGATAGGGCCCGGCCAATATATTTATAGGAAATTTTCTTGGGAGAATAATAAATAACATGATGTTAAATTACAAATGTGTGTCATTACATAATAAATAGATTAACAAATCAATACTCCCTTCATTTCTTTTTAAGAGATGTTTAAGATTAATTAAAAAGGGTATTAAATTAATTTCATATGGAGTAATGGGTATTTTGGTTTGTTAAAAATAAGGCCAGCCCAATTTTTTGTTGAAGAAAAATTTGGTTGGGAAAAAAGAATGGGCCGACCCAATATAAATATAATATTATTCAATTTCTACCCAAATTCCGTTTCCGTTATTTATCAAAACGAAAAACATTCCGTTACCGTTAACTCCCAACCAGGCTTCGAAATCTCCGTCGGAGCCCCACCCATTACCCCACCGCCCTCCACCACTTCCCGCTGCCACCATCAACTTCGCAAAACTTTTTACCAAAATGTCCTCAATCTCGACCCCAGAACTTCTCCCATTCTCTCTCCTCCACCGCACCTCCGCCGCACGAGGCCTACACCAGCTGCCCTGCCTCTTCTTATGCCGGCCCGGCCCGAAACTCCATCCTATTTCCAATCTTCCATATCCGCCCACCAGGCCCGTATTTATCGCCGCCATCTCTTCGTTAGCTGCCAACTCCGTTCCTGTAATCCCCACTTTAAATCACACCATTTTATATGTTAATGATCCTCTTTTCCCCTATTGATTTCCGTCTTCTGTTCGGCAGCCCAGAAATGGACTTTACACGGTCGGTGATTTTATGACAAGGAGAGAAGATTTGCATGTTGTCAAGCCCACCACCACTGTGGATCAAGGTTTCGTACTTTCTTAATTTTTATGTTTTTTTTTTTTTAATTTAAGCAGTGATTAGTACCAGATTGTTCCGATGCACAGTAGATGTTTGTTAATTTGCCGCCCCCACCCCGCAGCGTTGGAAATGCTTGTTGAAAACAGAATAACTGGTTTTCCTGTGATTGATGATGACTGGAAATTGGTATGTTTTTCTTTTACCGTTTTTAGAACAATTTATTTATAGTCAGTAATTTGAATAAATATGAAAATCCTAAAAGGATGAAACATCGAATTCTTCCGCTATCAGTTTTCTCGTCGGAGGAAAACGGAAGTACATTGGGGTGGGTAGGGTGGGAAGTGTTAGGCCTATATTGCGCGAATCGACATATTTCGACAGTTTCAATTTCATATAGTAACTGGGCTTGGGTGATACAGTACAGAATGAGCGAAAGCAAGAAACGAAAAGGATATTGCCTGATGTACTAAATGAACGAGTGAGCCAAAAAAAATGTTCAATATTATGTAAACGAGGAAGATGAAATGAATTTGATATCAAAGAAAGATATTGATACGAAATTTATGAGCATATTATTCTGAAGCACTATTATTATGCCGGTGTACCCTGCAGGTTGGTCTTGTGTCGGACTATGATTTATTAGCACTGGACTCTGTCTCAGGTTTGGCCCAATTTTTTCGATCCTAATTAATAGGGTCCAAATATGTTTTTTCGTTCCGTCATTTTGGAGAATTTTGAGATTCTTTCTCCGTTTTATTTGTTGGTTGTTAAAAATTCCCGGTTAGGTACTGGAAGGGCTGATACAGACATGTTTCCTGAAGCTGACAGCACTTGGAAAGTATGTTCGTAAAATCTCTTCTTGAAGTGATTATCTTTCCTTTATATATGTGTGCTTGTGTGTATATTTATGATAGTTTTACGTTTACTTGTCATTTACCATTTTCAAATTTTTTTTTTTTAACATTACTAATTTGGGATTCTCGGCTTCTAGTGAAGAAAGTTCATTATTGGAGTATGGAATTGGAAAATTAAAAACCGGTTGTTTCCGGGCATTCATCTGATATAGTATTCTATACCTCGGCAAAAGTTGCATATGTTGAGAGTATAATTGAGGACTAGATTTTTTAAATGTTGGCATAAAGTTTTTCTCGACGTTTTTGACTGTGGCATCCCTTTCGTGCTAAAATATTTGTCTTTTTTGAGAACCTTTTTGTTTCGTAATATTTGTGACTTTCGAATTCTACTGATGAAATAATTGCACTTTTCTTTATTTTGCCCTTCTCGCGTTCTTAATTACTTGTGAGAAGATTAGCGGAGAGACAATCAATGAGAAGGGTATTTCAGTCACTTTCACATATTTTTCCTTGTAATCCGTACATATGTGTTAAGTTTTTTTAATACATGTGCACCAACCCAAAATGTCAAATATATTGGTACGAATGGAGAAAATGTTCTGCCACATCTGAAAATTGGACTGTATTTGATTGCATCTGTGTGTGTGTGTATTTGTTGATCGACATAATCTTTTTTGCCTCGCTTGGTTGGGGAGATTAACCATGATTAATTAAATAGTTGGACTTTGTTCTAAATTTGATAAACCCAGCCGGAAATATTATTTTATCATGGCGTATCTTGCCTTTTAGGGAGATTATTTAATCGTCCAATTATATAATTGGGTTTTCATTAGATTATTTAATCCTATCTTGGATAATCTTTTATCTTTGGAACCAAACGAGGCCTTAGTACGTGATATACGTGTCTGGTTCCGAGTGGCTGTTTCCTCTCTCTCATACTCGTTCCCACGCGGTGCCCACGCGCGTGCACACACACCCACTTGCATGCATACATCATTGCCCACGACAAAAAAAACGACGACAGCATGTTTTTAGGATTTCCCTTTTCCCGTTATATTGTCGTTTTTCTTCGCCTGATAATTACGAGTGACATATGCAGACATTCAACGAAGTACAAAAATTGCTTAGCAAAACCAACGGCCAAGTGGTCGGTGATTTAATGACACCGGCTCCCGTAGTGGTTAGAGAATCCACCAATCTCGAAGATGCTGCAAGGTGCATTCCAACCTTTTCTTAATTTCCGGCTCTTCGGCTATTTCATTGTCGTGTTCGTCAATAAAAGTAATAAATTAAATATAGTTTTTCGTTGCTTATATGATTATATCAGATTGCTGCTCGAGACAAAATACCGCCGCCTTCCCGTTGTCGACGATGACGGCAAGCTGGTGAGGGCCCGCCACGTCATTTCTTTATACAGACGTCATTTTATTTTTGGTTGACATTTATATTGAATATTTTCTCTTTGAAGGTTGGAATAATCACTAGAGGAAACGTCGTAAGAGCTGCTCTTCAAATCAAACGAGACGTCGAATCGGCTTAAGCTCTGCAAAAAAAGTGTATATTATCTTGAACCTACAATAAATATTTGCATGCTAATTAATAAATGTGATTCAGTTAATTTTGATCTTAAGTTTGGTGAATCTATGATTTAAAGTAGAACTAGATTTTAATACTAGGTTGTTTTTTTTTTTTTTTTTTTTTTTAATAATGAGTTACTAATTATTTTATTAAGTTGGTACTTTTGATTTTATGTTGAGAAAAAAATATTGAATTTTTATGTTTTTCATGCATCATCGGATAAGTCGGTTGTATTATAGTATTAATGATTTGTTTGTGTCCTAAACTAGGTAATACTTTGTGTTGTTGTACTAAACATTATATTAATCCGTGATTAGGATAATGTAATACTGGTGTGCCACAATGTATTCTCTAATCTGCGTTGACTATTAAGTACCAATAATAGAGTGTAGATTAATTAATAGTCAATTTATTTAATTATTTTTTTATATTTACTTCCAATCAATTCATTAAGTTTTTTAATGTCTGATATTTCATTTAAAAAAAAAGTGAAAATGGAATTCATCTGATAAATAAATACTCTATGTCAAAGCAGTTATTATTAAAAATAGTAATGGGGGCCAATATGGAGCTGGATTTAGCTTTATTATGATATATTTTATTTTAAATTTAATATAAATAAAACAGGTAAATTCAGTAACCTCGAATTCATCATCATGCAATTCACATCAAACAAATTACGTTTGTACACACAAACAAATTGACGTCATATATATTTATAAATATTATTATTATTATTATTATTATTATTATTATTATTATTATTATTATTATTATTATTATTATTATTATTATTATTATTATTATTATTATATATAAATAAGTGAAATTGTAGAGTGGGTAATTGAAACACGAGTTTAGACAGTGATTTGACATGGAATTTCTCCGCCCTGTCTGCCGCTGGCGGGCCGATCAGCGCGGTGGTGCCCCACCGGATTATCTGCAAATTACAGTACTGGAGAGAGAACAATTAAAAAAAAAAAAAAAAAAAAACTCCATATTCGTTTTTATAATTTCATAGTTGAGATGGATCGGAGTTATAACAACCACTTGCACGAAATTCGAGAAATGGGTAGGGCCACGGGTTGGGTTTGTTCCCACGCCCCACCCACCACCACAAAACGGGGCCCCACTTTACTCTCAATCATCATCTACACTTTAACCATCACATGCACACATATTTCTTTATATATATATATATATATATCTCATCAAACTAATTAATTAATTAGTTACAACAAATTACAATTTCAATAAATTAATAACCTTGTTTGAACAATATTTTTTAGAATTTTGTATGTGAGATTAACGGTAATTAATAAAAATATTCACATTGATTAACATAGTAGCGAAGCAAAGTAAAAATTACAGAGCTACAAACAGAAGAAAATAAAATGAAATAAAATTACAGGAGTAGTACAGTATGGATACTATCTATTAGAAAAGAGTGATTGTAATTAAGAAAAGTATTTATGGGTTCGGATCCTTTTGGCGGGTCGGGTCGGGTACGCGGGGTTCTTGGTTCTAATACTTAATTCATCGACGACAATACTCGACAGCGGCCGGGTCATCTTCGGGTTCGGGTTTCTTGTTGAGGTCAATCTGGTACCCTCGGAACCAAGACCGCTGGTTCATTGCATGGCCGCCGTTAGCCGCGGCGGAGGTGTTGGCCTGGAGGGCGTCCACCCTGGAGCCCACCTCCACCGCCTTCTCCCTAATGGCGGCGGCGGAGAGCTCCTCCACCTCGCCGACGACGGAGGAGGAGACGTCCTCGGGGAAGTTGAGCTTGGCGGTGGGGCCGCGGAGGTAGTAGACGGCGGTGTCGTAGGCCCTGGCGGCGGCGACGGCGGTGGAGTAGGAGCCGAGCCAGATTCTCGTCCGCTTGTTGGGCTCCCTAATCTCCGCCACCCACTTCCCCCACTTGCGCATCCTTATCCCTTTGTATGGCTTCCCTGACCGGATCACATCGAGATGACGGCCTCTACCTGAACCACCCGACGAAGCGCCGCCGCCGCCGACCTCCATTACAGCGCAGTAGAATAGAAGAGAATAAAAAAAAGATGAAGGGTAGAAAGGGTATAAATAGAAGAGAAGGATCGGAAAAATGACAAAAGAAGAGAAACGAGAGTGGCATGCGATGGTGGTACGGTGCTGCGGCTTCAAACCTAAGGTTCTTTGTCATCCGGCCAAGAAGCCACGTTTTTTTCTTTTCTTTTTCTCTTTCTTTTTTTTTTTTTTTGTTTCTCTGATGAATTAATTTAAAAAAAAAAAACTAACTTACAAACTGCACCGACACACCTCACCGCAATCGCCCTTTTTCTCTCTCTTTCATCATCACACTACCGGTGTTTCTCTCTCTCTCTCTACTCTCTCTCTCTCTATAACAACACTTATATATATAGAGACACACCTCTTGGAGCTGTATATGTATCTATATTCCTTATTTATTTATTTTTTTCAGTTCCATTGTTTTAATATTATTTTATTTGGCGTTATTTTATATTGTTATTGATTTATTTTAGTATGTTCGGACCTCGTTGATTCCACATTATATCCACACTTAAACTATTTGAGTTCAATTTCTTTTAACAACGACTTTTATGTTGAATTTATCCACAGTTAATATAGCGTTATCGGTTGTCATAAAATCAATGAGTATCAGGTAGTGTTCTAAAAATCGGCCGAGGCGGCCGATTAATCGGTCTAAGAGGCGGAGGCGGTCCAAAACCTTTACGATTTTAGTGTAAATGTTTGAAAAAAACGGTTTTTTGCCTGTGAGGCGGTTTTAGGCGGTCTGAGTCGGTCTGAGG